CCCCTCACCCCCCACCCTGCCCCCCACATACCCCCATCTCCAGGCCCCTGCCCTGAGCCTCTCCTTACCCCCCAACCCTGACCCCCACATACCCCCATCTCCAGGTCCCTGCCCTGAGCCTCTCCTTACCCCCCAACCCTGACCCCCACATACCCCCATCTCCAGGTCCCTGCTCTGAGCCCCCACAAGGCCCCTCTCTTACTCCTACACCCCCCACACTGCCAGCACCTTGCCCTGATGGACCTGAGCAATGCCCAGTGAGTCTTCTAGTGACCAAATGAATGTATTAGTCTTTAAGGTGCCTCAGGACTTGTTGTTTTTAGGAAGAACTGTGCAATGCCCCCAACACACACCAGCTGGGCCTACACCAAGCAGGATTCCTTCATGAAACAGTAGACTGTACAATGGACACGGTTCTGCCTGTCCTTCTGAGTCATTCCCATTCCCACACAGTCCCAAAGATGAAACCATGCCTCACAGGTCCAATAAACCGTCTAGGATGAAAGACACCTGCTAGACTCTTATGCATGTCATGTCGTGTAAGGCTGAGAACACAATAACTCTGAACACAATTACATCCATTCAGGGAGTCACATGCACAAGAAAAACGTGTTTTGAAATGGATTAAGAGCTAAAGAGAGAGGGTGGCGCCGTTTCTCCAGGCAATCTGAGAAATTGTATAAAAGTCCTCACAACTCAGGTTTCTTGAACCACTTCTCTCGACTTCTCCTCCTCGATAACTTGGGTAAGTCTGATTTGGCTGAGTCTTTCTATACCTAATGGGATGTCATATTAGAGATGGTTTTAATTTAGGACTCCATTTTGCCCATAACTCTGTGATTGTTGGCTATATGAAGGGATCTTTTCCATTTTAAAATGATTATTAATAAGTTGCATGTTTTTGGAGACATAGTTTAGAAATTAATGCTACAGCTTGAAGAGGGACATTGACGGACCTCCACATGTATCCAGTATGGCTATTCCTAAGTCCTATGTGCACTAGAAACAATTTTATATGTAGAACTGCAAATAATGTAGGTTACTTTAAGCCCTTCATTCTGCTTTAAAGGGCTGGTTTCTACTGGCTCAGGATCTGGTTCTCGGTGCTTTATTTTGACAAAAGAATATTTTTTCTATTCATTCATTAGCAAGTACACAAATTATAGACGCTAAAGCTCCATTCTGTGATTCGGGAGAGAAGTGGTTCACATGCTGAAACAATGGGAACTTATCTTAACAAATTTTGTCCCTGCCTACTTTGCACAAATATTTTGTAATAGGAATAAAATCACCCTGCGCACATGGCAGAAATATTGTCTATTCTCTGTTTGCATAGCCCAGTCAGTACGCTGCAAACACAGAACTGAGAAAGGTTCAAAGGGGTTGGATAGAAGAGAGACTAAGGTTACTTCTACTCTACAGTGTTTTGACATCGAAACCTGCCTTTTGGTGACAAAACAGTGACAATCTTTTCCACTGCCTTGCAATTTCTGTTGGGAAGAACATCCAGTTCTGGCAACAAACATTTCCAGTCCTGCCAGAGACTTGTGTCTTTTCCCCTCCCTTTATTGTTGACAGAGCCAGTGTGGAGTCTGCTGTTTGTTTTGTCAAGAGAACTGGCTTCCACCACTATCCCACAAGGCCTGCCCTGCTGGCTGTGCTCAGTGTTCTGTGATCTCTGCTGCCCTGCAGGGTACTCCCCTCCCCTTTTAAAGGTTCTGGAAGTATGTGACAGCTGAGTGAGCGGCTCTGTTTGGAGAACAAAGAGCAAATCATGGGACTGCTCCTGTTCGACCTTGCACTAGGCACACAGTAGCAGGCAGGCTGCTGCTACAGGAGGAGGGTCACAGGCCACTGTGCTGCTTTGACACTCCTCAACACCAAGGGCTCCCAGCAGCTGAAGAGGCTGTGGGAGAACTCCAGGGGAATTCCAAGATGCACAGGGATCAGCTCCGCCTTCCCACAGCACGGCAGCATGGGATACCTACTCACAGTGCATTGCTCACATTGTCAATGATGGTACCCCCAGTTTGGACATGCTCTGTTGACAGAGGGAGCAAGTGTGAACACCTTCTAATGATTGTGGGTGTTGACATAAGTTATGTCGACAACCCTTGGTAGTGCAGACACAGACTAAGAGAGAGGGGAGCCAGAGACTAGAAAGAGGAAACAGGAAGGACTATAGAGCTAGCAACCGAGGAGCTTGGGCATAATTTTCCTGCTCCATTTCTCTCTCTCCCTTTCTCGTTCATGGCCTCTATTACAATAGTTAACTGAGCCTTTGCTCTTTTCATTGGGCTAGCTCTAATACATTGTTGTTGACTCTTTTCCTTCCTGTGTTTCAGGTTTACTTTCAACGCAGGGAGATGACTTACCAGCACCAAAAGATTTCTCATTGCTGGGGCTATAGCCCATGCAGTTATGGGAGCGGTGGCGGCTACCGGGGCCACTACGACTGCTATCGGCCAGGGTGCTACTCTAGGCCCTATAGATGTGGCTGGGGGTATGACAATGGCTGTTACTACCCTTCTTCTTCCCGTTGGGGCCATGGGTGTGGGTACCAATATGGAAGATGCTGGCCATGTTAAATCCCGCAAGAAGAGCCTCAGAACAAGGAACAACCAGGAAATGAAAAGCAGGAGATGGATTCACAACTGAGCTCACGGGCAATGGCTTTCTGAAATGCTGACCCTCCACAACCCCTCAGATCTGTGAGCGGTCAGCAATTCTGTCCATTTGCCCCACATCTGTATTTCCCAAATTCCTCTTTATTATTGTTCCTTCTACTCTCCACTTCTCCTTTAATTATCTGAAGGCCTGAAGCTCAATCCCATGAAGGTCCCTTTAGGCCGGTGTGACAGTCAGTGACCTAGGGATCTGCGGGTTGGGACAAACAACATTTATACTCACTCAGTGCCCCTTCCTGGCAAGAGAGGCCTGTGCCTTGTTTTAAGCCCTTTCTTTAACTAAATGTCTTTTCTTTTTTCATGTAACTGTGCCATGGAAAACGTATCATGGAGAAGCAGCGTAGCGCTCTGCTTGTGCTGGGCTTTGTCTCGTTTGACCCTAAGATTAAATAAGTGCAGTAAAATCATTGCAAGCAAAACTCAGTTATCAAACTCCCCAGGAGCCACGAAGCAAGAAGAACATCTGGTGTGAAACATCACCTCAGAAGGGGTGATTCTTGGCAGACCCTCTCAGAAACCTGGAGACGTGGCCTTTCTTCTCTGCATTGTTTCTGTCTGCACCCATGTATGCCTTTTCTTATTCACAGTAAACTTTTTGCATCAGAATATCTGTTTTCTGGATTTCCTTTAGGCTCCACGCCTTATTCCCCAGCCTTTGTGGCCCAGATTTAGCGAGCTGCTTTCACGCCCAACTCCCACGGAAATCAGTAAGAAAGAGGCATCTAAATACCCTTTTGAACCCAGGAGTGTGGGTGACCCTTCCGTCCTGGGCAGGGAGACATACGTCCCACTTGAGCCTTGAGGTGGGAAAAGAATCCGGTCGGGCAATCATAAAAGGTTTTTTCCAGCCATTCTCCTGTTTGTCCCAACTAAGCCAAGCAGGGTGATGGTTATTCCTTCCCATTCCGAACAACTAGCGCTTTTAGGTTGAATACCGATTCGTAGGAGCTTGATACGTTCCACAATGTGAGGAGGGGGGGGGGGAAGGAGTCTGCCGCTTCCCTCCCACACTCAATGTGAAAGGAGTCTGCCGCTTCCCTCCCACACTCCTGAGAACAGCCTGCTGTCCCACCCCCACGTTATTCCATCCTTGCAATGTGGTTTCATTAAAAGTGCTTCTGAAATCTCCTGCCCATCAGGCAATCTCACATTAAGCGCCACGTCGGGTGAGGAGGCGGTAACGGTCACTTGCCTAAAACCATCCATTTTCCGATGACATGCCAGATATCTCCCGGGGGTTACAGCCCCAGCAGTGAGCAGGAAATGAGAGTTCCTATTTCCCTCCCATATGGGACTACACGTTGCACAGGGGGTCTTATACCTTGCACAGGGGTTCTTACACGTTGCACAGGGGGTCTCGCACCTTGCACAGGGGGTCTCACACCTTGCACAGGGATTCTTACACCTTGCACAGGGGGTCTCACATGTCATCGCACCTCGACCCTCTTCCATGAAAAGCAAAGACTCCAGAGCACCAGGAAGCGGGACCAAACCCTGAGCCACAGGAACCTGACACCTGGCGGGGCAAATCCAAAGCTGCACTGCCC